GTCGAAACATCACCGCCGCTACCGTTTTCTCGTTAATTGGCTCGGGGGAAAATAACTGTTAACGTTAAATGGCCCGCGGCCGCGGCAGTGCTTGGTTCCATTCGCGCGAGATCCGCGCGCGGTTATATCGTGTATGCGAATGTATAATAACGACAACAATAATAATAATTTCATAATGAAAATTTAATCGCGTACACTTCACGCGGCTGCCTCTCTCTCTCTCTCTCTCTCTCTCTCTCTCTCGAGAGAGAGAGAGAGAGAGAGAGAGAGAGGGAGAGAGCGACCGATTCGAGCGCACAAATATCCCCGGCTAGATTGCGAAGATTAATTAGAAAACGGAGCCAGCTTGGGCGAAGGAACGCGGGGTTGCCAGGGTCGCGACGGCGGAGTTGAAGGTCCGGGCGCAGCGTGACCGGCGGGAAGGAGAGAACGCACGTGTCCGGACGCACACGGCGAAGACGACTGGTGTATCGATTGGTCGGCAGGGGGTGGCGAAAACCATAAGTGCACGCGCGATGCTTTGTCGCCGATAAATACGCACGCACACATGGGAGACGGCCGCGTCTCACTCATCGCTTTGTCTCGCACCGTCGCGAAATGAAATCTCGCGCTTTTCGCGCTCGTCGCGAATTGCATTCTGATCAGTCAAGAGGGAGACGCCTTTCGCCGACGGTTCTCGCGCTCCCAGCGCAGCAGTGCTTCGTATTGTCTATCGCACATTTCGCGCGAATATTCGCACCCCGCGTCGGCCAAGGGAGCGAAGAGGTCGGAAAAGGGCGGCGAGAGGAGGGAGAGACTTTTCCGGCAGGGTCCGATAAGGTTGCATCCGCGCGAAAATCACGCGGCTCGCGCCACGCCGGGCGGCGGCGTAAAAGCAGGCCGTGCCGTGACATTAATTTTCGCGTTAACTCTCGTCGCTCGTTTGCAAACTATATTTTTATCTCGATATAATAGGCGCGAAAGGGGGACACACGTCACTCACGCCATCGGCGTCACCTTCGCGCCCCCGACGTCATGAGCGTGATCGCGAGGGGTCGCTCGATCGTGAATTATGTGTCGCTGAGAAATTGTTTGCAGTCAGCCGGGCTGACACGCGACGCCCCGACCCTGTTCGTGACACACGTGCGTCGGAGATAACGGGACGGGCGCGAAATTTGTTATCGCGTTGTCTAATAACGTCGTATGTATGTATGTATATACCGTATATAAGGGGTGTGCGTCAACCCTGATCAAACGTTCTTTCTTTCGGCCAATTTTGTCGTTCCCAACTCGCTTCTCAATTCTCTCGCATTTCCTCTCTTTCTTTGTCTCTCTTTGTGTCTCGCCCCGTAATTCGCTCTTTTCGCCGAAAAGCCATGGCTCTCCTCTCTCTCTCTCTCTCTTTCGCGCGCGCGCGCGCGCATCAAAGTTGCATGGCGCAATTCCGGGACGATTGCATCGTCCGAGCGGCGTCCAAGAGGCGATATACCGTCGCCGCTCTCGGGCGACGATTTTTATTAACGACTGACCGCCGACGCAAATAAAAAACCGACGCCGACGCCAACACGGGCCGCGCGGTGGAACGGAAAAAATTATTCATACGTCTTTCAAAAGAGAGAAAGAGAGGAAGGTGCGCGCGCGCGGAAAGCGACGGAAGACCGTTTGACCCGCGCTCTCTTTGTTTTTTTTTTTTTCCATTTGTCAGTACACGTCGATCGGCCAATAATTGATGCCCTCAACCGGCGAGAAGTCTGGTTCACAGGATGCTTTTACCGTCATCCGCGATATATACGAACAACACGAAAAGATCTCAACAGTCACACGAACAATTTCACTATATTTTTTAAGGATGCAAGGAAAATAAAGATTTGGTAATACTGCCGCGCAATGTTCCCCGGAACAATACCGCGTAAATGACGGATTCATCCAACTCGATAGATCGACTCCTCCTCGAATAGAAAAACAGTCAATTCGACGCCGAAAAATGTGATTTCTAACTTCTTAACCGTAAACACAACGATGTTAGGACAGATAAACTTAAGCAGTACAAGACGTAAGCGGTAAAAGAATTGACGAAATCGATTATTCTTCTAGTCCAAAAATATCCAACTGTGACAGATTAATTTGTCTACTGTTTATGTTTTTCCATCCCCGCTTCTCAGCGGGAAAACGCTCGTTCGAGTCGATAAATAAGTAGCCCGATGTATCTGATTAGTTCCGCTCCCGCCGATCGAGGCTCGCCGTGTTTTAATTCGTCGCGGTGCGTCTGTATTCCGCGGCAAATACGGCACCCATAGGTGGATAGGAATGATCGAACGTAATGCGAAAGCAGGGTTAGTCGCGCGTGCTGTCATAAACTGAACACCCGGGGGGGATTAGAGGCGATTTAGCCCGCGAGATGCACGCGCGTTATCGGGCGCAGCCTCAGGTGCTGCAGCTACTTCGAGTTAAGTCGGCGCTGTCACGCGAGGCGCGCGTTACGTGTGTCATTGGTAATTGCTTGGATTTCACGTCGGCAAATGCGCGCGCGACGCCGAATATCAATCTATTCCCGGCAAATGCGGTCGCCGGCGCTGCCTTGGCCGGGCTAATATTAGAGCTGCATCGCGCGCCGCTCTCTCTCTCTCTCTCTCTTTCTCCCTCCCTCCCTACCCACCCCCCTCTCTCTCTCTCTCTTCTCTTTGATTAACGAAGTTAAATCACGCGTTCGTGCGAGGCGATCGACCGTCGCCTCGAGAACGCTTCTCGCGCGTCAATCGTTGGCGGAATAACGAAATAAAAGAGCGGTCGACGGCGGAATGACGAGAAACGCTTGAATTTCGAATGGCGACAAATCGCCGATCGGCGCAAGCAGTGCGCCGCGCGAGGATTAAACTTTCAAACTTGATTACTGCCGCATCGACGCGCCGGGAAGTCCGCGATTTTACGATCATTCATCCCCGACGAGCGTCGGCGAGCACAAGCTGTGTGTGCTCCGCTTTCGCGGCCCGGCCAATTCGTTCCGAGCTGCAGCAGCGCGACTTGTTTAGCTCCTGGGGAAACGCGAGCGAGAGAATCCGCGCGCGCGGAAAAGCGCTGCGCAAATGTTGCCGTTCGTGGGCTACTTGAAGCGCGACAAGGCGTGCGAAAAGCTGTCGAGGACCTGGTTAAGAGGACCTGGTACTAACGCCACTCGATTTTCCTCCCTTTTCTTCCTTTTCCGCGGGCCCGTCTCATTATTCGCAATCGGGCAATCATGCGCGATCTGTTTCATCGAGACTTCGATTTCGCGTGTCTGATTGAATCGACGCGCGCATGGTTTCATCCGCGGTCGCTTGATATGATGAGAATGCACGGAAATTTCGCGAGATTTTTTTAGCCAAAACGCACCGAGATCTCGCGATAATATGTGCCGAATCGAATCTAAAAGGGAAGGATGTGCAAGGATATTTACAGCGAGGACGTTCGAGATAAGTAATGAAATGATTGCAGAGTGCCATTGGTAATATTTAAGACTCCGAAATGAATCGTTTATCAGCCGGTCGGAGCTTGCCGACGATATGTAATAATAATAATAATAATCAAATATATATAATGCAGATACATATAACCGCATTTGCCGGGAATAGAACATAAAGATGTGTCACGTAATATTGGGTTGGCAACTAAGTGATTGCGGATTTTAAATAAGAATGAAAATTCAAAATTTAAAATTTGCTTTTTAAAATTTTTTCAATGCATGTATGCGATACAGATTGAGCTTCTCTGCAATATCACGTGTTGTGCTATGACGATCTGAATCGATAATGGCCTTGATATGGGTCTCATCGACTTCAACTGGACGGCCAGATCGTTGAGCATTTTTCAATGAAAAATCACCAGAACGAAATCTGGCAAACCAATTTTGACACTGCCTTTCTTTCAAGGTTTCATTCCCATATACGGCACATAACTTCTTGTGTGCTTGCGATGCCTTCTTGCCTATTCGGAAATAATACAATAAAATATGTCTGAAGTGCACGTCTTGCTCTTCTATTTTTAAATTGGGATGAAAACAAAACTAAAGAACTAATCGATATAATTTTGTACTAAATGAAAGGTACAAGTCCAAACAATAAGAAAAAAATATAGGTTAGGTACTTTGAACACGTTAACGAAACAAAAGAAAGTGTAAAATCCATCTGTCGACAAAATCCGCAATCACTTAGTTGCCAACCCAATAAAATTTTCAGTCTGACATTCAGCCCACGATGATATGAGCTATATCTCGTCGAGCGAGATATATTATTATCAAAAATATCGTTATTCTCTTTAGGGTAAATAAAGGATAATCATAAGGCGCGATTCGCAAGTGACTAACGCTCCGAAATAGTTCGGGGTAATCTCCCGGCCGGCTGGAGCTTACCGGCGAGGTGTAGTAATAAGCAAGTACATATATAAATATATAAATATATAGAGAGTAAAAATATAAAATTTTAGCCCCTGACATATTCGCGATGATACGCGCGACAACGAATCTTGTCGAGCGAGGTGCATTATTATCAAAAGCGTCGTTGGTTTTACGACGTAATTGAAATAATTGTAAAGCACATTTCGTGAATAAGCAAGGCTCCGAAACAGTTCGGGATAAATCCCGGCCGGCCGGAGCTTGCCGGCGAGATATAATAATAAGCAAGCGCGTGTGACATAAAAATATATAGAGAGTAATAATAAAATTTTCAGCCCCTGACATTGCCGCGATGATACGCGCAACAGCGGATCTTGTCGAGCGAGGTGCATTATTATCAAAAATGTCGTTGGTTTTGCGGCATAACTGAAATAATTGTAAAGCACATTTCGTGAATAAGCAAGGCTCCGAAACAGTTTGGGATAAATCCCGGCCGGCCGGAGTTTGCCGGCGGTGTATCATAATAATCAAATATGTGTGCATGTATGTAATACAAATATAAAATATGATAAAATATACATGTGTATATATATATATATATATATATATATTCGTTTCGGCTAAATCCCATCTCCTCTTTCTCTCTGTGTTACAGTGGCTCGGTCTGGGCATTATGGGGGTGGGTGTCTGGGCATGGACCGAAAAGGACACCTTCAACAACCTGTCCCGCCTCACAAACATCGCGCTCGATCCAGCATTTATCCTTATTCTAGTCGGTGAGTACCGCTGCTTTCCTCTCCCGTGCCATTTTCCTCCTTTCCTCGCCCCATTTGCTCTCTCGCGTTCGCCTCACGACTTTCGGAAGCTCGTATATGGCGAGTTAGGATGACTTGGAGTGTCGCCGGCCTAAAGGCGCGAAGGACTCACGAAGGACGGTAAATCTTAATTACGACACGACAGCACGGCGAGGCGGCTCTCAGTCGGCCCCTTTCGTCGTCGTCGCCGCGATATCGGCCTCTCAACAATGTTATCGGACGACGCGAGAAACGCGCGAGTCGGGACGTTGAGCTAAATTAACGGGTAATCGAGTAAACTGAGAATTGCAGCTGCTGTTGGGGAAAACCGTCGCGCAAACTCTCCTCCGCGCGTCTTTGCCTCTTTACACATCCGTTAAATTCCCGAAACGACTTCACAGATTGCAAACGTTTCAGGAAAATTAAAATCACGATAATACTCAGCTTTTCATCATTCTAGAGACGCACACATCCCGCGGGCAAAGGGCGATCCCCGCACGTCGACGAGAAATCTCGAAGAGAATCTTCTTTTTCGGTGAATAAAAAATGCTAAGCGATTATTCATAAAATTTCGGGGCTAACAATTGAAGGTCTGAATACCGACGGCGAATTAACGCGCAGTAATATACCATCAACTTAAAATTTCCCTTAGTGCGTGATTACGGGGCAGGGGGGTGGAGGGTTATTTCGAGTTTTATAATTTTATACACGTTGAAATCACTCGGTACCCACACAGCGCGCGCGCGCGCGTTGCAACGCCCCGACATTTTCGGTGTGATGCGAAAATTTATTACTCGCACGCTCGGATATAGTGCGATGCGTTCACGCTCTATTGGTGATTCGTAACGAGACACCGTATTTTCTACGTATTCGGCCCGACTTCCGGCGCACACGCGCGCACTCAATTACGCGAGGCTCGTTACCGGTTGAAATGCAAAAGCAAAGTTTCAGCCGGACAATTACTGATTGCTCGGCGAAGAAGAAATAACAATAAATAGAAATGGATATATGCAATCGCCGCGACCAGGGGATAAAGCGCGGAATAAACGCATCGTTAAGCGAAATATACATGACACGCCGCGTGTGAGTACGCGCCAAATGGTGACTCGCGTTTTGAACCGATCCGCGCTGGGGGGTGGCGACGAAATCTTTCCGCGAGACTCTCCGTCAAGAACAAAACCCCTCGTCACGGGGGACATGCCTGTCCCCGCGATTTCCCTTTTTTTTATATTTTTTCCCGCCACCGTATCGATATAATATGCAATTACCGTGGTCTGCCGCGCGATTGCCGCGACTGCGGGCGAACTTTATCGAAATGAAACAACCGCAATTAACACATTACGTCGCTAATGTCGATTCTTTCTCCGCCCGGGCGGAAGCGACCGCAGCCGCGCGCGCGTTTATCGAGCAAACAAACCAGCTCGCGCAACAATGCGGCGCTGGAATCGCGCGCTGGCCAACGTCAATGATAACCACAACAAATAACATCTCGGAGAATTTCACATTAGCACACGAGCCGAGCGAACGCCGCTGCCCTCGAGAATCGAGGGAACAAGACATGATTAGCGAGGAGGCCGACGTTCGCGGCTTGCGGAAACCGGGCAGTCTGCTAGCCGACCTCGTGCGCAGTATAATCCGGACGGAACGACGGTCCCAAAATGCAACGCAAATGTGCACGTCTAACACGTAATCGTGAAAGCGACGCGCGGGAAGCGGCCGGCGGTGGATGAAAAGTGCATCGCGCGAACATGGCGTTTAAATCGATCGGATCTCGCGTCGACGAGAGAATGCATAATCGCAGTGCTCCCTTCGTGCGCCGAATACGTCTGTATTAAGTCGCTTGGAAGTATCGGTGGATAGACGATCCGCGATTTGAAAAATCGCGGTTATTTAAGGCGAGCCTTATCGGGCTACTTGGTACTCGTACGTGACCGTATTCGCGTAAGTTTTCGTTGCGCAGAGTTGACTTTCTTTCTCGATCGATCAAGCCTTGCAAATACAGCACGCTCTTGCGTTTTTCCACGAGGATCGCGGCGGCGATACCATCGCGCCGGCAAATATACATCTAACCATATGCGTCGTGCGTGCGCGCGATAATAAATTCGCGACGGCGAATTGCGAGAGATCGCCGATTATTTGTTTTTATCGTTCGAACGCGAACATTGCTTCGTTAAGGAAAGAGCGGCAATCGAAAAAGAGTCAGTCGCATTAGGGAATGTCTTTTCGTGAAGGTATTCGCAAAATACCCACACCATAAAAAGTGGCTTTTCTTTTCTGACTCATCGATACACGCAGCCAGAGTCAGGCCGCGTTTCTGCTGCGGATACTGTAACAAAAGTATAGTTTTCGTTAGTGTAAATCGATGTAGGTTAGAAGTTTGGTTTGAGTTCAGTTCGGCGGTAAAGCGCACGCGCGGCAAGATGCCAAACGTTGACCTTTTGCCACTTCGTAAATTCAACCGGTGTTTATTGTCAAACTCGGGTGTTCGATTCGCAATCGTAATCAAGAAAAGAAGTGTACAAACGATCGGTGAAACCTCACCTTCAATGCTGACTCCGCTCCGCGTCCGAACCGATTCCTGCCGGTGCGATGCGGCGTCCGTTCGAAACTGCGCCCC